GTGTTCAAGCCATTTCTAGATAGATTTGTAACAGTATTTATTGATGATATCCTGGTATATTCTCGTAGCCAAGGAGAACATGAGGATCACCTCAGGACTGTGTTGCAGACATTGCGATAACATCGGCTTTATGCTAAGTTCTCGAAGTGCGAATTCTGGCTAGACTCGGTAGCATTTTTGGGGCTTGTTGTATCCAAAAATGGAATTATGGTAGATCCTAAGAAAACTGAAGCTGTGCAGAAATGGCCCAGACCTACTTCTCCTACAGAGATTCGCAGCTTTTTAGGCTTGGCAGGCTATTGCAAGCGTTTTGTGCAGGATTTCTCCAGAATAGCAGCGCCGCTGACCAAGCTAATAGAGAAAAATGCAAAGTTTCAGTGGACGGAGGAATGTTAGCAGAGCTTTCAAAAACTCAAAACATGTTTGACAACTGCACCAATATTAGCCTTACCATCAGGTTCTGGAGGATTTACAATATTCTGTGATGCCTCGAGGGTGGGATTAGGATGCGTTCTCATGCAAAATGGTCGTGTTATTGCTTATGCTTCGAGACAATTGAAAAAGCACGAGCAAAATTATCCTACACATGATTTGGAGATGGCTGCAGTAGTATTTGCTCTAAAACTTTGGAGACATTATCTATACGGCGAAACTTGTGAGATTTATACTGACCATAAAAGTCTGAAGTCTATCTTTCAGCAGAGAGATCTAAATCTTCGGCAGCGTCGTTGGATGGAACTACTCAAAGACCATGATTGTTCTATTTTGTATCATCCTGGAAAAGCCAATGTGGTAGATGATGCATTAAGTAGAAAATTTATGGGGAGTTTGGCACATATAGCCCTGCAAAGAGACTTTTGGCCAAAGATATTCAGAGACTAGAAGATACATGTATCAAATTTAGTGTCAGAAATTCAGAGGCATTATTGGCTTGTGCTCAGGCTAAGTCTTCATTGGTTGAGCGCATTAAGACCACCCAATATGAGGATGAACGATTATGTAAATACAAGCTGGTAAAAGCAAGGATATGATTGTTGAAAGTGATGGTGTTCTTCGAATGGGTGACAGGCTATGTGTAGCAAACGTAGATGGGTTGAGACATGCTATTCTTGAAGAAGCCCACAACTCTAAATACACTATACATCCTGGATCCACAAAAATGTACCATGACCTGAAACAATTTTATTGGTGAGAAGGTATGAAGAAAGATGTTGCTAACTTTATTTCTAGTTGTTTGACTTGTCAGCAGGTCAAGGCTGAGCATCAGCGACCCGCAGGACTACTACAACAAATTGAGATTCCAAAATGGAAGTGGGAAGGAATTACAATGGATTTTGTCACCGGGCTACCACGAACCCTCAGAGGTTATGACTCGGTATGGGTGATTGTAGATCGACTGACGAAATCAACACACTTTTTACCGGTGAAGACTACATATGGTGCAGTCAGGTATGCACAGATATTTATGAACGAAATTGTCCGACTTCACGGAGTTCCAATATCCATCATCTCTGATAGAGGATCATAATTTACCTCACGCTTTTGGAAATCTTTTCAAGAAGCATTGGGTACACGAGTCAATCTTAGTACTGCATTTCATCCACAGACAGATGGGCAGTCTGAACGTACTATACAGATCTTGGAGGATATGTTGAGAGCTTGCATTCTTGAGTTTGGAGGTAGTTGGGATGCTTATCTACCTTTAGCTAAATTTGCTTACAACAATAGCTTCCACTCCAGTATTCAAATAGCACCGTACGAAGCATTGTATGGTAGAAGATGCAGTTCTCCTATCGGATGGTTTGAAGCTGGTGAGACTAACTTATTGGGACTCGACCTAGTACAAGAAGCTATGGACAAGGTCAAGTTGATCAGACAGAGATTGCTTGCAACTCAAAGTAGACAAAAGTCTTATGCTGATAAGAGAAGAAGAGATTTAGTGTTCACAATTGGGGACAAAGTGTTCCTACGAGTCTCTCCTATGAAAGGGGTGATGCGGTTTGGGAAAAGAGGCAAGTTGAGCCCCAGGTTTATAGGACCGTATGAGATACTAGACCGAGTGGGAGCGGTGGCTTATTGTTTGGCACTTCCTCCGGAGTTATCTTTTATTCACCTAGTGTTTCATGTCTCAATGCTAAGAAAATTTATATCAGACTCATCTCAGGTTCTTGAAGCACCAACTATACCGCTTGATAAGAAGTTGTCCTACGAGGAGGAGCCGATGGCTATTGTTGACAGGCAAGTAAGAAAGCTACGGTCAAAAGAAATTGTGCTCGTTAAAGTCTTATGGAGAAATCATACTGTTGAAGAAGCTACGTGGGAAATAGAAGATGTTATGCGAGTCAAGTATCCTCATTTATTTCAGTCTACAGGTACGTACCTGAGCTAAATTCGAATACCGAATTTCATAAGGTGGGGAGAATGTAATACTCATTAAAAGAAAGAGGGTACTTACGTAATTTACCAAAAAATTATTATAAATAAGATTAAATAGGGCAAAAGCCCTATGCTAGCTAAAAGGAACGAAAAAGAAAGAAAGGGCCGAAGCCCCTTTCTCTGGCAAACAAAATCAAACTCTTCTGCGTAAAACCAAGCAGAAGCAAAAAAAGGATTTTGACGGGTCAGAATTAAAGCGAAAAATCAAGAACAAATACAGAAGGTGAGTTGGGGAAAAAGCTTAGTACCGCAAAAGAAGCCACTTCCATCCATTAGTTGTTCAAATCTTCAGGTACTTATTCCACAAATTTGAGGATATATTTTAATGGTTAGAGTTAAATAAGGAGATTGACAAAAGCCAGTGAAACAAGGAAAGATATATATAAATTTTTGTTAATCTTTGGCAATCTGTTGAGGAATCTTAAGCACAAAGTGTGTCTTATGGGTATAGCTTGAGCTTCTCTTTCTGGTAGATTTTAATTTCGATTCTCATGATTGGGAGATTCTATAGAGAAATAGAAATTACACTAGTTCATTCATACTTCTTAAAGAATCAACAGAACTTTATGAAATTGGATTAATAAAATATATGAATATGTTGGAGTTGATAAATTAGTAATTACTCATAGGTGGGTAAATATAATTCGGCGAATTAAGAGTCAAATATGAAACCTCGAGGGTCGGGTATTCTAAATTAGCTATGAATTAGCCTAAACAAGGAAATTAACATGAGATTGATATTATGTAATTATAGATTGATTGGAAGAATTTGTACGAACTGCTCGAGGTGAAGCATTTGGTATTTAGGCATGAGTACTGTGAGTAGTAACCTTACCTCAATTTGTATTTCTACAACTAGCATGATTTACATATGATTTTAATATGAACATGTTACCGACTGTTTTGAATTTGCATGTGAGACAAGTCCTTTACTAGATATGATACTACTATATTTATTTTAGACGATTACAGACATTCTGAATATTCTCATTGTTACTGAATATGTTATACCGTTACTTGAGATAAGATTTACCGTTATCAAAACAAAGTTACATGATTTGATAAGAATCGAAATGCCCTAATTGTTTAAAAATATTTTCCTATGAGTATATACGGATTATAGAGACAAGTATAAATGGGAGTAGACCTAGTGCACCTTGTATTTACCGATTACAGAGTACAGTTATAGCCGTCGCTAGTGGGAAGGTAGAACTAGCATACCGTTACCGATTTCCCTCGAGTAGGGACTACCGTTATATTTAACTTCTTGCGAAGAAGTCCACAGTTATACCGATTACATGATCCGTTCATTGAAACCTCCCAAAATGTGAATACTAATATTATACAATGGTTACCGAGCTTATTACTGAATTGTTAATTATATTTTACTACAAGAAAAACGTGATGAGACTGAAAATGATTTATTGTTTCTGAAAGGTCATTTTTATGTTGTTTTTTCTTTGATATACTAGCATGTTTTCTGACTTGTCCCCAAATTAAAAACGGTTGTGGTTAAGTGTTATTACTCACTGAGCTAGCGACTCATTCCCCGCTAATTTTTTTTACAGAGACAACAGTTGATGCAGGCGAGGATCTCATTAATTAGAGCACACAGGTTGAGAATTATTGGTGAGCCTCGCATTTGTTCGCGTGGGCGGAGACTTTATCAATTGTTATGGTCTTTTCTTTGAATTCTTAGAGCCGCTCCATAGTCATTCTTTTAGTGTCATGAGTATTATTTTTCTATTAGTCTTATGTCGAGTATCATTCTTTATTTTCAAAGTCGGAGATAAATTAGTATTTCTGGTTGTTAGTGGGTTGATCAATAATGGTGAAGACTATTTTGGTTAATTGATAAGTTGTCGATTGTTGAATTGCTATTAGGATGTTTGGTTGTTGATTTGAGACAGGGAAAATTTTTGGGATAGTCCAAAAACAGGGAAAACTCTGTCCGATTTTCTATAAAATTTCCGATGAGGCTTACTTGGGAGCACTTGCTCCTAAGCGCCGGTCACAATCCTAAATTGGGTCGTGACATGTATATGGTGAGGAAAGAGTGATAAAACACGAAGGGTGATGTCGTGCACATTTACATTGATGTATATGGTGAGGAAGAGAGATAAAGCACGAAGGGTGATGCCGTGCACATTTCTAATATTCACACTACAAGAAAGTATAGAATTGGCAACAGTTTTTTTGTAATAACAATCATGTTGTTGCAAAATACAATAAACTGCAACAACTTTATTTAGTTGTTGCTATATCATAGAACTTTTACCCACAAAATTTTTTTTGTTAGCAAAGCTTTAATATTGTTGCCATATTTAACAAATAATATAATAAATTTTAAATAAATATAAATTAGTAATGACTTTTTACCAACAATATTGTGGTTGTTGGCTAAGTTTAATAAGTGACAACAACGTGATTAGATTGTTGTTATATCATTGAATTTTTAACAATAAGTATTTTCTTGTTACCAAATATTTTAGATTGTCGTTGCTATATTTTAGGAGTAATATAATAAGTACTTAAATATTAAAATAATTGGCAATAACAAATATAAGTTGTTGCTATTACCCAAAAGTTTGTGACCTAAAATTTAGTAAATTACTTTTACTTTTCAGCCAAAACAAACGCGCCAAAACTGGTTTCCCTGTTCTATTACTTTTCCCCAAATTCTTTGCGCGCAATTTTAGTTTCCACTGCATCTAGGTTTTCTCTTTTCATTATTCTGCTAAACTAAGTTCTTGCATCTGGTGTGTTCGATTATTCGATCTCCATCGCTGTGTTCTACCCAAAATCTGGTGAGTTCTCGATTTTGATTTCGTTTCTACTTAATGTTTGGTGCTTTCTGCTTTTGATTTAGCTTAACCGTATTCTTCTTCTTAGGTTTTCTCTTTTCAGTTATTGTGCTAAACTTAATTGGTTTTCTTTTTAATTCTTAATCATATTCTGCTTTTGATCCCTATTTCGTTTTTTCTTTTTATGATACTAACGTTTTGGACTAGAAAACAATTGGTTTTGTATTGGGTGTTATAGTTATTTGGATATGGTTTTGGCATTATTGATTTGAGCATTATCTTTGATTATTTTTTTGTCTAGAAGGTACGAAAGTATGAAATTTCAGTTGCAAAACTCCAAATTTTGTAATAGAACAATATGATTTTGTTTTGGATTTTATGGGTAGTTGAATCTGGTTTTGGTATATTTTAGCATTGTCCTTGATTGTTCTTCACTTAGAAGGTCCTTCAAATGAGAAAATTCAATAGCAAATATGATTAGGAAATCCCACATAAACATGTCATCAAGTAACTCAAATTACCATGCCTAATGGAATCACTTTAAAAAATTTAGTTAATCAGATATGCTTTGCTTAAAGTAGAAACTAATTATTCTTCTTAGTTTTAGTTTTCAAAGCTAAAATCTAGAGCTTCTTTACTTTTAGTAGTAGCAGATGCATTTTAGGAACTTCAGATTCTTTTTTTTTCACTTGCTATCTTTTTTGTCGTTATTTTTTCAAGATGCTACTCATCTTCCTTTGCTTCAGTGGCTATTAGTTCAAATTATATGTTTTATTTTAACTATTTTCTAATATAGAGTCTTCTCTAGCTTCTGTTTTAGATAATAAAATAGAGAGAAAGTTAATTATATAGTTTTATATTTCTTGTTTTATATTTCATTATAGGTAAGCATATGATGGATAAGAATTGGCTACTTATTAAGAATAGGACATTACCGGAATACTTGAATGGTGTGGAATGTTTTTTGAACTTCGCATTTTCTAATCCTGAGGTTGGTGTAAGAATCCAATGTCCGTGCATTAAATGTAATAATGTTCTTAGAAAATCACGTGATGAGGTAAAGACTGATTTACTTAGGTGGGGAATAGATCCGACATATGATAGGTGGATTTATCATGGTGAGTCGGATTCATCATCAGATGATGAAATAAATTTTGATACAGATTCAAATTTTGGGAATGATGATGCTCGCACTTTTGAAATGTTGCATGACATGTATCGTGGTGTTCCCTCTAATAGTCGTGAGTTTGATGAGACCACTGACTCTATGTACGAAGAGCCAAATATAGAAGCTAAAAGTTTTTATAGGTTATTAAAAGATGCAGAGCAAAAGTTGTATCCAGATTGTGAAAAGTTCTCCAAACTCTCGTTTGTAATGCGTCTTTTTCAAGCAGAATCGGACAATGATGTCATCATAATACAAAGAGAAGATATTGATGGAGTGAGTGTTGAAGCACCTTCTCTTAATAATGAGGAAGAAGTAGATTTATAAATTGGAGATGAATCTGATCATGAAAATGGGGATGACTATAATAATTCTGCAACAGATGAAGAATATCTTTATGAGAAAGAATATATTGAAAACGAGGATGATGATTGGTTGTGATCTTCAACTAGTCTTCAAGACAATTTTGCTTATTTCAATCGCTTGTCGAAATGGTTACTTTCTACTTTCTACTACTTTTATTTTTTATTTTATTTTTTGTGATTTTTGCTTTGTAACTTTATTTGTTTCTAATTATTTCTGAACATATCTTGCATTTTTCTTGTTTTTTTGCTGCCTTCACTTCTACATTTGGCTAATGTCCAATAGTATAATTTTTTTTAATATGTTACAGCCTATCATGACAATAAATGTGCATGTTTCTAATAATATTGAACCTACAGCCGGTGTAGTTTCAAATTTACAGACAGGTAAGTTATTTCATTTGTTAAAATTCTAGCGTTTTAAAATCCCTAGTTTGTACAGGTTTAATTTCTATACACCTATATATTTTCCTATGTTGCTGAAGGAAAAAAGAGAAAGGGAAGGGGAAGACAACAGGGCTTTCATTTCTAAAGAAACGGAAAGACAGTGACAATGGAAAGTTGAAGGTGATTATTCCACCAGATCGAATAGTAGTAGTAGGCCCTGGAGCTAAAGAAAGTCTTCAGCATGCTAGGCATGATGTCAAGAAATGGAAAGAAGTCCCTAATCTAGTAAAAGATAGAATTGTTTCTCACATGCTGGTAATTCTCTATTATTAATGCTGCTTTTGTGAAACTTGTTGGAGAAAAGCAAGAATATTGCCGCGGTCAAGGATCGGGAGTCAAGCCACTAGTAAGAGATCTATGCATGTAACTCAAGAGCAACTGCAAGCACAACAAAAGGAGGTGGAAGTAGAACGCCATAAACGAGAGAGTGTAGAGTGCAAACTAATAGAAGTGGAAAATCAACTTGAGGAGGAGCGGAAAAAACGAGAAGTCATGGAAGCTCGTCTATTGAATGATCAAAAAATGTTAAAAAAGAGAATGATGGCACTAGTATCCCATATGCAAAGTTCAGAGGTATTTCGTTTGTTTAAGGTGTTAAAGTTTCAATTACTTACTTTTGATCCTAAGAATAATTTTATTAAACTACTTGAGAATAAAAGAGATAGCATCACTTTTCCTGTTAGCCATTTTCACACACATATATTACTTTATTCGACTATAGGCATGCCATAATTTTGCATTTGAAATGCAATAGAATAGAACACTAAGCACAAAATGGTCCTGAAGCACATGAAAGTGAATTTGCTATTCTCAGCTATAATAGAAACTAAAGGAGCAGTAAGTTAGATGTGATCTTTGGCGGGGAGCTATTTTGTTGGGGTGCTGGAATACAATTATTCAAGTAAACCATGACTTTCTAATAATTGTCTCTAATTTACTACTACTTCAAGACTTTTTTAAATACTACAATAAGGATATTTCTAAGTCTAATACATGATGATTCTATTTTATCTCCTGTGATACTGATCACGCCCAACTATGCCTTATAAAAGGACAATGCGAACGTTGCAAATATAACCTGAGTATTTATGCCCAGAGTCAAATCCACAGAGAATTAACCTATCAATTACTTTCGTTTGACTTACTAAATTCTTTAGAATCAACTTCCCCAAACGTTGTGAATAACAGTTGATGGTATATTTAATAACTAAGATTGAAAGTCAATAAACAGTTGTAAACTAAATAAGCTTAAGTTGTGAACAATAATGAGAAGGTTCTAAGGTAGTGATTTCCCCTATTGATGGAATCCCTTCTGTTTATGTTTCATATAGATTTACCAACACATCTCTATCAACTATGAACACTCTTTTCACCGTGAATCTCTCCCGAGTAATCACGATAATTTACTAGACGCACTCTCCCGAGATACGCTAGCTGGCTTTATTTATTACAGTTCACTTTAGATTTCACCCAAGACTTCGTTATCCCTAATCCCACCTTTAAACTCGCAGTTATAGATTCCTCCTATACTTTGGGAGTGATGTTGTTCAACAATTACCTAAATATGCACTCTCTCCCGAGTTATGCATACTAAATAGGCACAACTAATTGAGGATCCTGTCAATTAACTACAACAAACACGTAGTTGAACAAATAGAGATTAAACTGGCAAACTATATTAACATAATCAAGAAGTTCATCCTTCAATAGGTTCCATCAAAACCCTAGACAAAAGATTTAGCTACTCATGACAATGGGTAAATAAACTATGAAAATATTCATGATCAAAATTGAAAGAAAAATAAAGAGAAGAAGAAAATATGATGTTTTGGGTGATCTCCCACACTTGTTTTTCTTGCCAAAGTACTTTCTAAAACATTACCTGCCTCCCTTGGACGAATTCTATTGTTTAATATAGGGTTTTGGGCTAAAAATCTCGTGTTTTGCACTTTAGTCCCTCAATTTTTCGCTTCCTATCGCGGTCCTACCGCGGTTACGCCAGGACCGCGACCAACTAGCCTATCAGAATTCGCAACAGCCTTCTGCCGCGGTCCGACCGCGGTTACGCCGAGACCGCTGCAGTCCATCTCCAGTTCTGGTTTTGCTGCCTTCGCGTGGTGCACTTAGCGGATATTGTACGATTGACCTCTTTTTCTCCATAATTGATTCCAAAAGTACTCCATAGACTTATTTTATTGTATATAGCTTGCCAAGCATGAAAAACACTAATCAGAGCATTTTGTTATCACTTTTTATCACAAAAACTATACAAGAAGGTGGTTCTTTAGGGCCTAATTATAGTCCAATTCACCTATTATCAACACCCCACACTTAAATCTTTGCTCGTCCTCGAGCAAGTTGAACCACACTTCTAGGCCTAATCGTTCGATGCATTACCCAGTTTATGTCACACCCGCCATTATGAAAGAACAACCTAAGCAGTGCAACAGCCACACCTCAGATGAAGACTCTAACGCCATGTCATACTCGTGCTTACTCTAGTTACTCTGAGCAGAGGTGAAAACTTGTTTTTTCTTCCTGAGTCACATGCCCTCACATAACATTTCTGAGAGAAGTTCCACACACATAAAATCAAGCAACAAGGAACTATAGATAGAACGAATCCACTCACTCTCAGCAAAGAACATTCACATGCCACACAGATACACCATAAGCTTGCCCTTAGTGTAATACTCTACTAATCGAGTTGTTCAGTCCAAGATCAAGAGCTCTTTATTTGGTTATAATGTAGGCTAAGGGACGGGTAGGATATATTTGGATGTAGTGACTAACCTCCCTAAGCACTTTTAATACAATCGTTCCCTTTATTTCAATTTCCCTGTTCAACCCAATCATTCTTCCACACTTGTTTCATAGGCTACCCCCACTTTTCTTTAGGTGCAACTGGCCTTTTTTTTTCATAGCCATTGCACCATTCAAGTATTTTCCTGATTTTCCTTTTCCCACTCCATTACTACCCTACACTTTGACTTTTATATGCTCTTTAACGATTCAAGTGCTTCTACGAGGTACAGGTTCAAACAGTCAAACTATTCAAACACAGGGATGTAGGTTGTTGTAAGGTTATCAAAGAACATGCTTCAGGATCGAAGGGGTTAACTATGACAATATGTACAGGTGGATTCATAATTATACAGGCTACACAAGGAAATGCATCAATCATCTCTAAGACCAAACAACTTCTATTTCGCTTTGCAAACACACAGGGCAAGTTCTAGGTATCGCATGCAAGCACAAAATACAAGTATTTTTCACACACACTTGGCATGTAACTCATTCCGAATTAGTTTGTCAACACACTCACGTGAGCGTTCAAGAAAGACAAGGTGTGCAGAATTAAGGCATAAAATTACGAGTCTACAAACGAGCCTAGACGTCGCACCCTCAAGTTCGTTTTAGTTATTTGCAGGTATATACATTACGGGTCGCATTCTTGCCTTCACTGGCTTGGTTCAATAGAGTCCTAAGGGTCCTAAAAATATTAAAGAAAAATCGACCTAACCCGGTTCAAGAAAAGCCCTTGGAAAAGAACCGTGGTCAAAAGAAAAACCAAGGAGGAATTACTACACTACCTAAAAAGAAAAAAAAAGAAAAAATAAATCTAAATGGACTACTTCCCTCAAGAGTACTGTCCAAGTGGTCCGTCCTCAAGAAGAGTCTCCTACATTTATTTATTTTACAACCAATGTATATGTACACTAACAATACACCACTAAAGCAAGTCTCCCACCCCACACAAAAAGAATATGGCATGTCCCCATGTCATAACACAAATAAAGTGCAGAAGGGTAAGAAGACTTCCCTGAGCGTCACTCGGAGTCGGAGACGGTGCTGGGATCCACATGACAAGCCCTCCCCAAAGCACGAAACCAAGCTATCATCCGGCTCTCAGACCTGGCATGCCGCTAAGACATGGCATCCATACGCACATGCATGCCATCCACCGAGGAGCGAAGATCTGCCACCTCTTCCTCCAAAGAATGCAACATGGGTCGGCT